ACCGCGCTGACAAGCCATTCTGAATACGCAATTTTAGGAGGGGGAAGACAAGATGTATCATCTTTATCAACTTATTTGCCAACCATGAGAAAGAGGGATTCGGTTTCATTGTCCAGTAATTGCTCAGATCACCTTTAAGGATCACCTCTTTAAACCAAGCTACCCAGACAGAGCCAGCTCTGAAGAAGAGTAACCAGATCAGTCTTAAGCAACAAGCAGTATTCCATACTTTAAGGTCTTTAATCCCAATCCACCTTGGTCTTTAGGTAATACAACAACATCCCAAGCCACCCTCGCAGAATTATGAGCCTCAACATCACCCTTCCAGAGGAAGACACTACATAGAGAATTGATCTTTGCTATACACGCCTTAGGAAGAATGAAGGAAGAGAACCAGAAGGTATTGATTCCCGATATTATAGTTTTAATGAGGAGTAATCTTGCAGCAAATGAGAGCGATTTCACAGACCAGGAAGAAAGTCTGGATTTATTTTCTGAAGGAGGGGTTCACAAGTTACAAGGTTCATCTTCCGGGAGCTTAGAGGAACACCAAGATAGCGAGATGGTAAATTCCTTAACTGCATACATGTAGTTGCTTGTATTGTTTCCAGCTCACTGTCTTTCAATCCAGAAGCAAAGAAACTAGTTTTTTCCATACTGACTTTTAATCATGATCGCAGTTCGAACTCCTTGAGGACCGTGAGCACTTGCTGGACAGATTCAATAGACCCATCTATGAATATCAGGAGGTCATCAGCAAAAGACAGGTGAGTTAGCTTCGTTTTTCTGCATTTGGAATGGAATTTGAGTTTGTTCTCATCGGCCGCCTTGTTCAGAAGTAGAGATAGGAAGTTCATAGCTATTACAAATAAGTAGGGGGATAAAGGGTCACCCTGCCTCAATCCTCTACGACTCTTAAAATACCCATTCACTGTCCCATTATAACCGATCATTAAACTTGTGGTGCATATGCAGACTTTTATCCAATTGATTAGCTGTTGCGGAAGCTGCAATCCCTCTAGAGCTGCAAAGAGGAACTCCCAAGATAAGGTATCAAATGCCTTGGCGATGTCTACTTTAATTGTGATCTTCTTTGGCCCCTTATTAAACCATTCACCACTTCACTTGCTAATGTTGTGTTCTCAAGAAGTAACCTGTCTTTTACAAATACAGTCTGGCTTGGAAGGATGAGGTCCGGAAGACAGGTCTTTAGACGTTTGACCAGAAGACGTGAAATAACTTTTTAAATGGTGTTCAGGCAAGAAATTGGTCGAAACTCAGTTATCTTTGAAGCTCCTGGAAACTTTGGGATCAGTGACAGGATGGTTGCATTTAGAGCTGATGGAAGGAAAGCTGTTGAGAAAAAGTGAGCAACTGAGAGTAGTACTTCATCACCTATGGTACTCCAAGAAGCTTTGAAGAATCCCGATGTAAGTCCATCAGGACCAAACGCTTTGTTTGGGTTCAGCTTAAAGAGAATTCTTTTAATTTCTTCAGGTTATGGCAGTGAGGTCATTTGCTGAGCTTTCACTTCTGAGCAACGAAAGTTTGAAATTTCCGCAAACCAGAGAGGTGAAGAGAGTATTTGCGGAGGGAAGTAGATATGAGGCCCAAAACAGAATGAAAATGTGACACTGTGTGACTACTCATTTGAATGGGGTCAGTTATCCAATCACCATTATTAGTCAGGAAACTTCTAATGGCATTATAGTTGTCTCGCACTTGACAAATACGTTGAAAGTAGGCAGTGTTTAAATCTCCTTCCGCTAGCTAATTGATCCTTAATTTCTGTGTAAAGAAGCTATCTTCAATATCACGCAGGAACAGCCATTTCTGGTGCAAATCTCTTTAAGTTTGGAATGTTGTTGTTGAAGGGTTTTGAAGAGCCTGTACATGCACATATTGTAACAGACTGTAAGTCTCTGCCACTCTCTCTTGTATTTTTGAAAAATTCTCTCTATTTAGTTGTTTTAGATTACTCTTTATCATTTTCAGCTTCCAACACAATTGGGTGAGGTTCTGGCACATGCTTCCGGCTCGCAACCAAGCAACATAAACTGTCTGGGAAAAGTCAGGGTGTTTGGTGAGGTAATTTTGGAATTTATAGGGTTTGGTTCCGGCTTTAGGGAGTTGGTAGGCTAGGTCTAAGAGACAGGGAGTGTGATCAGAAAATAGAGGAGGGAGAAAAGTGGCTAGACAGTGGGGCAAGGCTGAGATAACATGGCTATTGACAAGAAGGCGATCAAGTTTCTTAGCAATAGGAGTAGAAGGTTGGTTGTTCGACCAAGTATGGGTGGGGCCAATGTATCTCAGATCAAAAACTCCTAATTGCAAGAAACAGTCTCTTAGCTGGTACATAAGGTTATCAGGCCCAAAAGCACCCTCAGTGGAATGTTCATTGGGGTAGATAATCTGATTAAAGTTACCACCAATTATCCAGAGTTTGTTATCAAGGTTTAGAGTTTCATGAGCATCCAGCAATTCAGTCAGAGGTCAACACGATCAGCGCTTTGGTTAGAGGCGTAAATTGCGGTATAGTAGATAGGATGCTTTCCAGTTAAAGAAAACACACAAGTCATGCTTTGGGAGGTTTGACGAAGGATGGAAACTGTTAAGGGAGACCGCCAAATAAGTATTATACGCCCATCAGGGTCAGAAGCATGGTTAGAAGAGAAAAACCAATTAGGGCAAAAGGAGGACATAATAGGATTCAAAAAAGGTTCTTTAATGTGGGTTTAAAGAAGGGTACCAAAAAGAGGGTTATGGCTTTGCAGCCAACTAGCAAAAGGTATATGCTTATCCGGGTCATTTAGACCACAGATATTTCAAAAAAAAAAGAATTTTACACTCATTGAGAAAGTAGGAAAGGATTCCCATTAGAATTGGGAAGTCTTAAAGACACTAAAGTTAAGGGGGAAGGGTCGGGGTTTAACAAAACAGGAGGAGACGGATTTTGAGAGTTTTGTGAGAAGTTTAAAAGAGGTGAAAAAGGGTTATAGGAGCCAAAAGGTATGGGTTTAGTTGTAGAGGGTGGTGAGAGAGTGGGAGAGGATCTGGATCGCTTAAGAGAAGGGCGAGGAGGAGGGGAAGAAAAATAGACAAATTCAGGGGGTTTTAGGTGGTTTAAGACAGTTAAGTCAGCAGTAGGTGGTAAGCTAGCATGTGGTTGAGGTAAGGGAGGAATTGGTAAGGGAGAATGGTTCGAGGAAGAGACAGAAGGAGGGGGGATGGAGTGGGAAGGGACTTTAGTTTTTGGTTGGTAAGTTTTTTGAGAACACTGATCTTGTTTTTTTTGCGGATTGTTTCTGAGTAGGAGCAGGGTCCTTAGCTGGGGGAGTGTAAGAGAGGCAGTTTCGAACTATATGACCAAGTTCGTGACAATGAGAGCAAGTCGGGGGGATCCAAGGGTAGTGCACAAGCACTTCAACAACCTCTCCACTTTGTCTTTCAAACTCCACTACTGGTGGGAGAGGTTGGGTGAGGTTCACTTCAATCTTTACATGGGAAACTGTTAAACTAACCAAGTTCTTGGTGAAGTCATCAGTTTCTTTTGGTTCTCCTACCAAACCTGCCACTAAACTTAACCCTTCTTTATATCGCAGGTCTAGAGGAACTCCGGTCAGATGAGCCCAGATTTTTATTGCCTTCAACGGAGGAGTAGACATCGAGTGTTCAGAAAACCATTGGGCAGTATGGAACATGGAGTCACCCACATACCAGATACATTTATTCAAAATCTTCTCTTTAAGGTAGTCACTTGTGATCCTAACCAGAGTAGTTGGATTTATCGGGTTGGTGTGGATCTCTAATCTCTTACCTTTTCCCCACATGTTTTGGAGGACACTCTGAATCTAGCTGAAAGGAGGAGACTTACCATTAAAATAGCAGATGATAAAGTTTTATGAAGTTCTGCCCCTTTTTGAAAGACTTCATCTGTGATAATGATTCTAGGTCTGCCAGTAGAAGATATCGAGACTGGGACCAGACGTTTTAGTGATTTATCTTCAGAGATTCGAATTTTCTCCACAAGGGATGGAGTAACAGAAGGTAGTTGAGAGGGAGGATTTGGAGCGATGGGACTGGGGTGAGGAACAAAGGTCTGGTTTAAGGTAGGAGGTGAGGAAGTGGTGATGGTAGGGTTAGGTCCAGAGGAAGCTTTATTGGTAAGAACATGTGACGAGTGTTTGGGACAAAGGACGGTAAAGTTTTCAACTAAAGACATTTCAATAGTTTTAGTTTTTTCAGATACTTGATGAATAGTGTTTACTGTAGTTTTTTCAGATCCAAAAATTGGACCAGTTGCAGCAGACTTAGGGGATTCTGCCTGTACCATCACTATATCAGTCGGAACTTCCTTAATGATAGAGTTAGTAGCTTGTTGCTCAGAAGCAACAACAGTTGAGGGAATGGCTAAAGAACTGCGGCGCTTTGAAGCTCCTAGAGAAAAATTTGGGGATATCTGCAAGGGATGGGAAGTTAACAGGTGAAAGGGAGGAAGCTGGGTCGGGAGGGTCAAGAGGGATTGGCGAAAGGGGTTCACCAAAAGTAAGCTGCGAGGTGGAAGCTCGGTCAGAATTGGACTATTGATGTTGCATCGAAAACCGAATCAGAGAGGATATTTGACTTTGTTACACTTAAATTTTTTATTTAACATCTTCATTGTACATAGTTTTATACATAGTAGAAAAAAAATTGGTGTAGAAAATTAGATTATATATATATATATATATATATATAATCACAATACAGGGTAGTGTTAAATTTGCATAACATGCATATCGACTTCTAACATTCAGCCCCTAGGACCCCCTACCAAAATTGAACATTCTATCGAAGTTAAACCGAAACCAAACTGAACATTCTCCTAACCCTGAATCAAATCGAACCGATAATTTTATTTTGGTTTCCATTTTTCAGTAACCGGACTACTAAACCCCAAATTACCCAAATCAAACCGAATCTGATCTGCCATAAATAACGAGACTTGTCCATTTTCTTCTAACGAAAAGAAACATTAGTCGCTGATAAAATCATGCCCGTAAATCTATAGTTTCTCCGAGGATTCGATTCGATTTCGATGAAGGCTTCACGAGTCTTGGCGGCAGCGGCGGCGAGGGTTGGACCGGCGATAAGGAAGCAAGTGTTAACCATAACGGACGAAGCAGCCTCTAGGGTTCATCATCTCTTGCTTCAGAGGCAAAAACCTTTCCTCCGTTTGGGCGTTAAAGCAAGAGGCTGCAACGGTTTATCATACACTCTCAATTACGCAGGTTAACCCTCACACGCAAACCCTTTCTCTTGATTTCATTTTATAACCATAGTTTCAATCTTGATTTTAGGACATTTCCTGGAAATAAAAACAACCTTTGCTTTGTTCTGTTTTTTTATTTGTCATCTCTCTGATTGTACAAGGAGATAGAGATATTAGCCGTCTTCAAAACTGAAATTTGAAGGTTGCTTATGTGTTCTTGGCTCATCTATAAATATCCCATATTCATTGATGAGTAAGTTCTGTCTAGTTTTAATTTTTAGGGCATTGATCTTTGTATGCTTAATCTTGTGCTGATGAAACATAACCTTGCTTTGTTTTTGCTCGCTGGTAAGAAAGCCATATGCTGCTATGTTCCATGTGCTATATATCTTGCTTAGCGTAGAAAAATTTGGACGGAGGTTTCTTGTCTTTAAGTCTCTGCTTTAGAGTAAAGATTCAGGTTGAGTATACCCCTCTCATTTTGTGTTCTTAAATTTGATGATTGAGCTCATTAGTGGAGAAGCCACGTTGCCTCCAATGCATAGTTGTGCTTATTTGGTTTCAAGATGCTTGCCTCTTGCTATGTTACACTCTGTTGATCACATGTCTTGACGCTTTATTGTTTATAGACTGATCTCCGAGAGTATTGTTACAGATGAGAAAGGAAAATTTGATGAGCTGGTGGAAGAGAAAGGTGTGAGGATCCTTGTGGAACCAAAGGCCTTAATGCATGTGATTGGAACAAAGATGGATTTCATAGATGATAAGCTAAGGTTTGCAAACTCTTGTCTCATTTAAAAAAAAAAAAAAAAACTAATGTATGTTTTTATATGGCTTTTGTCAAATTTCAAAACGGTACTCATTTTCTTTTCTATTTCTGTTTGTTTAATTGCAGATCAGAGTTTGTGTTCATAAATCCAAACTCGCAAGGTCAATGTGGGTGTGGTGAATCGTTCATGACAACATCTACTTCCTCGAGTGCTAAACAGAGTGGATAGTGTTGCTGCACTATCCTAGACTATTACATTTGTTACTATATAATCAGTGTCGTTGACAAACATGGGAAACAAGTCGGTTCGTTGCTTATAGTTACTCTTGCAGGCATTATTGCGGGTACTTGTGATTTGTGGAGAACAATTCATGTATTCTTTAGAACACAAAGTTATAATAAAAATGTTGGATTATGTAAATTACTTATTAGAATCAGGTACTTCCTTTTCTAAGTGTGTTCCAGTAATTCTGATCTTGTTATCTATTCTTCGAGGCAATCTCGGCCACAATTAAAGACCGTCCATCTGGTGTTATCACCGCTTATGATTGGACAGTGGTGGTGAGCAAAGCTCATGGAATGAAGTTTACACAGATTTTGGTTGAGGTTACTTTTTAACATTCAGACAAAAACGTAACTAAACATAGGGAATTGATATTGTAATATGTTTTGGAAGCAGTGTGGATAGCTTCTTGGTTTTTGCGATGTATGATGATGATATGGTGTGGTTTGTGGAATGGAAACTCTCGTTTGAATATTATTAGTTCCTCTAAATATATAGAGAAAAAGGTTATTGCAGATTTGCTTCATATGGAACTGATACCAAAGATGAGATTCCAAAGAAACTTATGACAAAAGAAATTCGATTAGACTCTGAAGTTGATTGAATAAATCCGATTTCAGACCCAATAATTCTATTAATCCTGACAAACCTCAAGGAAAACAAAAGGTACAAAGACAAAAGCTCATGCCGATTGATTAAAGACAATACTTCAATTACTCAGAAAAAAAAAGAAAAATTGAACAAGTCGCAGGAACCAACAGAACTATTGAGATAAAAAAAAATATTGCATTACATCACAAGCTAAAAAAAAAAAAAAAACACCAAAGAGCTTTCTCTTCTTTTAAGATGCTGTTGAAGGTTTCTTCTCCTGCACCACCAGAACCTCAACAGAAGCTACACTGACCAAGACCGCCACAACGACCGCCGGCAAAACGACCACCAACATTAAGACTAGAAGGACCACCACCACTAAATTGATTGAAATTGTTATGATTCTTCTTTTTACCAAATCCAGTCTGAGAATAAGGTTCCTCATCAAAACCAAAAGGAACAAAAGGACCAAAATGGCTACTACGATTAGTTTTCGCCTTTTTAGGATTACTGGTATGTACTTCAGAATTTTTTTTCCGGATAGGCTCTTCATCATCAGAAGATGATTCATCCACAGACATGTTGTCTGCCTCGGCCTTTACAGTGCCAGTTTTCATTGAGGCGTTACTTAAACTAACCGATGAGATCAACATATCCACCTTTTCTTCCATCTTCTGAAGACGATGATCCACCTTTTCCTCCATCTTCTCAAGACGATCAACCAATCCTCTCAACATCTCTATCACATCAGATATTGTATTCTCGTTCATGTCTTTCTTAATCACATTCAAAGCCGGGGTGGCGGATTCTTTATCCATGGAGAAAGATGAGAAGAGCGAATCTAGGTTAGGTGGGGATCGAGAAAAGACCTAGACGAAACTGGTATTTATAAAGAGTCTTTTTATTGCAGCAGCGTGCATCCTAAGTCCGAATGTGTTTCGGTTTTACTTTTTTATTGAGGCAGCAGCGTCCATCCTAAGTCCGAATGTGTTTCGGTTTTACTTTTTTATTGAGGCAGCAGCGTGCATCCTAAGTCCGAATGTGTTTCGGCTCTATTGATGTAGCGTGCATCCTAAGTCCGAATGTATTTTTGTTTTTAGTGTATTATCTTCTTTACCTTTTTCGCCTATCGATGATACTATTGGTATTTTTCATTTTATCTTATATTAAAATAGAAGTCATGACTTCCTCCATGTATAATATTTTATTTTGGACTATTTCTTAAAAAAAATCATCACATTTAAGTATTTTATCATTTAATTTTCATAATAAATATAACATAAATACTTTTTATTAATATCTTCATAAATCAACAATATACTATCTTTAAGGAAAAACTCAAATTAGTTTACTATGCTAAAAAAAAAATTTGTATTCAAAACTAATAAAATAAAATATAACTAAAAATACCAACTGATTTATAAAAAATATTCTAGCCTATTAATATAATAATTATTAACAACATATAATGATTTTGTAGGTCATTAACTATGTTGTAGGTACGTTATTAACAAACAAAAAAATCATATGTTATGCGATCATAATATATAATTATATATACATATGATCATGTATATTATTTTTATTATTATGTTATGCAACCATAATATATGATTAATGTTATTATTTTGATGATGTCAAAAAGGTATCACATATATTTTTTTAATATTATTAACATTTTTTTATCAAACTAATACTATTTTAAAACATAAAATAGAATTTGTTTATAATCATATAACTAAATTAAATATATTTAATAATATATATTTAATATAATTCTCTAGAATGTTGTTCAAAGGTTAAGTCTAAATTGAAAAATAACTTGACATATAAATACATTGTAATTTATATAATAGAGAAAAATATAACAAATGTATTTACAAATATAGACGTACTAATATATATAATCAACTAAATTACATTATTTTCAATTTTCTTACTTTTAAATTTGATTTCTTCAGATAAATTAAAAAATTATATTATATTTAACCAAAACATCATTAAACATTCAACTAATCATAATTCAACAAAAAAAAACGCTAACGGGGGAATAGAAAAATTATATAAAAATAAAAAATGTATAAAATTGCATTAAAAATTGATAATGTCATCTAATTTGAAGTGAAAATATTTCTCTAAAACGTCATATATTAAAAAAAGTGAATATAGTCTACAAACAAAAACACTAGAAAATTTTATGCTTTGTGTAGAATTATCCAATTACAAGTTACTTATCTAAGATATCAATTTTATTGTTTCACCATGCAAAACCTAAATACGTAAGCGACATAGTTTACAACTTCCTCAATTCAATTTGAAAAAAAAATTCGCACAATTACGCGGGTCAAAATCTAGTTATATATTAAAAAAAAAAGTCATAACCTTGATTCATGTGTGATGTTAAAAAAAAATAAACTACTCCTTAAAAAGATTATCAAGATTATCAAATGTTACATAATTTAATGTTAATATCTTTATCTTTCTATTTGAAATACAAATAAAATAAAATCCAACAAGATCTTTTTGACATCTTTTTATATTGTAGAAAAATTTGTATTTCCGTAAATCACTAAATTTAAATTCTGATTATCATAAAATATAATTAAATTATTATTTTATTTATAAATGAAAATTTAAAATTATTTAAAATATTTGTAATTATATTTTAATGAGAATAATAATATCAATTGACGGATTTTCGAAAATACCTATTTTAAAAAGTTAAATATTTTATATTAGAAACAGATATTGAAATTCTATTTTAATATACAAAATAATATATTATATACTTTATCTATATTATAAAACGAAGTCATGAGTTACTAAATATATATTTTTTATTTGGACCATTCTTTAAAACAGTTAGCATATTTTACATAATTTAATTATAATATCACACATATCTTTATATTTTATTTGAAATACAAATATTTTTGTTTAAGAAATTAAAAATTTATCTAGATAGCACTATATATTCCTAAAACCTAAAAAAATACTATATACTACAGTTTGACCCACACATATTTTTTTATTTTATGAACATAAAAATTTGATAGTATTATAAAATTTTAAATATATGATTTACATTTAATGTTATATATTATATAACTCTATAACTTTGTTGGTTAATTTTTTTATTCGTCATTAGTAATATTTAATAATTTGTTTTATATATTTTAATTTGTATTCTTATTGATTGTTATTACTTATTAATATATTCTTGAGTTTGATACATAAATTATGGTATGAAATAATAAAATATATAATCTTTTTAATATAGATTTTAAGTTTCTACAATTTGCATACAATACATTTTAACATTTATTTAGATATATTATAGATAACTATTTGTTAATGATAATTTATATTTTCATGGTGTATTTAAAAATGATACTTTAACATCTATCACTTTAGTATTTTATGAGATTTTATAAGTATAAGTAAATATGTTGTTATTTGTTGATATTTGTTTATAAACTATAAATGAAAAGAAAACCCGCACGGTTATGTGGGTCAAGATCTAATTACAAGTTACAACTAAGGTTTGTTTAATTCCATTTAGAATATAAAAAGTAAATAAAAGATTGTGCCTAATATTGTGTTATTATATTAATTAGACATATTATTTCAATTTTGCATTATTCAGTTTTGGATATACATTCTCTTACAATAATTCTTCTGAGTTTAAAATCAAAATTATGCCGATATTAAAAATTAAAAGACAGTGAAAACGTGAAAATAAGTAAACACTAGATTTTGACCCGCGCTTGAAAGCGCAGAAATTTTTTATTATTAAAAATTTATAGAATTGGGTTTTGTCTTAGTTTAAAGAATATTTTGATATAAAATCAGTTCACCAAAATTTGTGGTGATGATTATTTTTCATTAGTTTTTAGTTTCAGTTTTTATTTTAGATTTTGGTTTTTGGTTTTTGGTTTTTAGTTTTTAAGTTTCTACTTTTCATTTTCAGTTTTTGGTTTGGGTTTTTAATTTTTAAACCCGCTGAGTTAGTTTGAACTAATATTACCAACAAACAAATCTCAAATAATCGAACATCTAATTCAAAACTGAAAAGATGACAACAAATTAAAAAAAAAAAATTTGAAATAGTTTATTTTGTAAATAAACAAAGCAAAAAAATATAACATGTATTTTCAGCTTTTGGTTTTGGATTTTAGTTTTTAGATTTGGTTTTTGGTTTTGCTTTACATTTTTTTTAGTCAGTAAATTATTTAAGAAAAATAAAACAATAAATTATTTAAAAGTTACCATTGAAATTTATCAAAACAAAGTGATTGTTATTTAAAATAAAAAAATATATTAACATGTTTTAAAGTACATGATTTAAATAAAGGATTAATAATAGATAATTTTGTTTTGTTAAAAATATTAAATACCTTTTGAGTCTGAAAATAATAACTGGTTTTTTTATCTTATAAGGTGAAAAGTTTATTCAATGTTTTTAGAGTTTTTTTCTTAATACTAAGCCCAAAAACCAAACTATATAATTTGTTCAAAAAATAAAAGTAATCCCAAGACTATATTCCATAAATAACCACTGGTTTAATTTAAGTATACTTAGTAGATTTCCATATTCCATATTTTGATGATATATATTCTTTTAGAACATCCCATATTTGAAAGAGCAAATATGTGTTTTCGGTATACACATAAATACCTGCCATATTTTGAAGGTAGTTTACATTAAGGTCGTCTTTTTACATTAATTGTGTTGATTTAATTTAAGTAATACGGTTTAATCAATTATGTGACTTATATTATTTGTAACATTCTAGAAAGAGTCCAAATTTAAATGACAACTTGTATCAGTAGATAAAAAGAATGACTCTACTTTAATAGAGTAGATATATACCAGAGTGATATTTTAGTACCCGGATTGCAGTGAACCTTAAATATTATGAAGAAATTAATTAGTGAAAAAAAGGCGACTAATATGTTTTTGGAGATACTCATTTTTATGATATTCCCTTAACGTTTGTTTAGTATACTATTTACTTTAATTTTTAATATATAATAATATAAATTTTCATAAAAGGAAAACTCCTGTTAATTTGTTATGCAATTTAATTTTTTAGATTATAGTCAAATAATTAAAAATAATTTCCTTGCACAATCATATTTCCATTGGTGCAAAAGATTGTCTTATTTAAAGAAAATATCTTTTATATATCTTTCTCTGGAATTATGTTAATTAATATTAAATGTTTTACTTCTAATTATCAACAGCAAAACTAACTCACACACAAAATCATAATCCTTAGATCCGGTGAAAATTTATGTTTTAGCCCAAATAAATCCATAATAAAGATCATCCACTCGCTTTTGGTCAAAAATCATGAACTTTAGTAACTCTAGTAAACTAATTTTGAAATCAGAGAGTTGTAATTTTGAAAGGAAATGGAAGAGAAAGTGAAAAAAATAGGATATGAAGATGTATATATTGAGTGTAAATACATTTAGAACTTGAAATTGGTTATTCATGATAGTTGGATAATAATGGTAATTGCAAAAGAAATCATGAATTAATTTTTCACTAGGTGATTTTCCCGTGCTCATGCACGGATATAAATATTTTTAAATTAAATATATAATAATAATTGATTATTATCTACTTTTAATTTTAAATTAATTTAGAATTTTTATGCATCATTTATATTAATAGTATTATATTACTTTACTTATACTGTAATTTTATATATGTTATATCTAGTCAATTTTGTTGTTTTACGGTTGGTTTAGTTATCATTTGGATAAATTGGATTGTATCTCTGAATTCAACTGTAATATTTTTAAAATA